TCCGGGGACGATTACTCTCAACTCCAGCGACTTCGGCGGCAACCAACAACACCAGACTGCTCTCCTTACTCTTTTGAACACAATGGTATAAATTTCTAGAAAATTGGTGAAGAATTTTTAAGGATTGGGTATCCTTATATAGAAGAAGAGAAGGGGAAGAAGACACTGGGCTGACTCAATTCTACGTATGAAAGTCGCATAGTGGAGGGGGCTGCGCCGATCAGAGATTTACACGATTCTTCCCTGATTGGGACTAATTTCGGTCCCAATCGGGGTACTCTTTTTGGTCCAACTTTCTCCGAATTGAATTCTGTTTGAACCATTGCAATCAGACAGTTAAACTCTATCCAACGATATAACTTTTATGTTTATTTGTAATACTTTTTCCAACATCATATTTTTGGGTGTTTGACTTTGACATAATCAAAATTCATTTAGTTGATCTTTATTCAAAAAGGTTCTCACATTTAATTCATATCATTTATTCAATAAATCATTTCAAAGTCCACATCATAATTAATTTCTTCATTTATTCTGGATTTGGGTCTGTACTCAGGTTCCTAATCAAGGTCACACAATAAGTCAACATATTGGATTTATCTCTATGAGATTTATCCAGATTGTGATAATGGATATCCAAACACATTTCGTATCGGCCCAAAGCCCAACAACAATTTATTTTAATCAAAACAAATTTGATTAATCAAATAATTATTTATTAATAATTCTAGGGTATGTTTTGGGGCATTACATATTAAGCCCATAAATCCACAGCACGTCAAAGAAATTATTTTTGGGATCCCAAATACAAAGAGCCCTGGTCCAGATGGATTTGGAAGATTTTTAAGAAGCAAGGGCATGTGGTAAGAGGATTGGTGACAGATGCAGTGATGGAGTTCTTCCTGAAGAACAACACATTGAATCAGGTAAATGCAACACATTTGGTTGTCATCCCAAAAAAGAGTGATCCCCACTCTGTGACAGATTATAGACCCATTGCTTGTTGTAATGTCATTTACAAGGTCATATCCAAAATAATTTGTTGGAGATTAAAAGGAGTCCTTAATGACTTGGTAAACTGTAACCAAGGGGCTTTTGTAAAGGGTAGGGAGGTGCTACATAATGTCCTATTGTGTCAGGAACTGGAAAGAGGGTATGGTAGGAAAAACATATCCCTTAGATGTCTAATGAAATTGGATATCAAGAAAGCCTATGATTCAGTTAGTTGGGAAGCAGTGAAAGGGATACTAATTCATATGAAGTTTCTAGAGCAGTTTATCAAATGGGTGATGTTCTGTGTAACATCCCCCTCTTACAGCTTATTAGTTAATGGTGAGCCTCATGGCTACTTTAAGGGAAAGAATGGACTTAGACAGGGAGATCCCATTTCACCTCTACTATTTGTATCAGTTATGGAGTACCTTACTAGACTGTTCAACCACTCTACAAGGATATCCAAGTTTCTCTATCATCCTATGTGTGTTTCCCTGAAGGTGGTAAACATAATCATTGCAGATGACCTAATAGTGGGGTGTAAAGTTGATGTTAAATCAGTTAAAGTCATTATGGAGGTCCTTGATCAATAAGGGGAAATCTTCCATTGTGTTTAGAGGCTGTAAGGAGGGTCTGGAAAAGGAGATCCTTGGAGTAACACAGATGAATAAAGGTAAACTACCTTTTATTTATCTCGGTAGTCCCATTTCATCTTCAAGGTTATCAACTCATGACTGTGACAAGCTGGTTGAGAAAATCAGTGCTAAGAAAACAACTTGGAGCTCAAAGCACCTTACTTATGCATGGAGGTTAAGACTAATTAATACGGTGCTCATGGGGATAATAACCTTCTCGGCTAGATTTTTCCTAATCCCATCTAAGGTGATGAAGACTATCCAAGCAATATGCAGGAACCTCCTCTAGAGCTCAAAAGCAGAATACAATAAGATCCCTTTAGTGAGCTAGGAAGATACTTGTCTACCTAAGAGATGTGAAGGTTTAGGGTTGAGGAATATGGCAATGTGGAACAAAGCCTCAATCATGAAGCTGAAGTGGGATATACACAAGAAGAAAGACATTCTATGGGTACAATGGATCCACACAAGATATATCAAAAGTGCTAATTCTCATGTTTTGATGTTAACAAACAATATAAGAGCTTAACGTTTGTTTAAGTGTTTACGGAAAACAAGAATCCATTAAGATTCGGTACTCAAGAATGAAGTCGAAACACTAAAACTAGCGTAGAATATAGGTAGAAACCAATGTAAGGATATGACTTTATATACCTATATTCACAAGCTCAAAAGCACTCACAAAATATGTTTAAAACCATCCCATAAACATTTTCAAATATCCAAAAGGTTTTAAACTCAAACACGAAGGATTACGGGAATTTTGGAAAAATCAGGTCAGTGGCACGGTACCCCCAGACGGTAGGGTATACCGCCTACACGGTACCCCTATACCGTGAGACGGTACCCAGGTACCGTACGGTAGGCCGGAACGGATGGCCACACCTGTTCTAACCAGGTGCCGCCAGAATCGAATGGAGATTTTGTGCTACACGGTACCGAGGTACCGCCACTCACGGTACCCCCTACCGTACGCACGGTACCATGCTACCGTGTGGACGACACCTGCCGACCGGATCCGTTACAGCACTGTAGCAAAATTGCCAATTTGAATTAAATCAACCCTAATCACCTCCCAACGGCTAATTAACATCTTCCACTATAAATACAAGCCTAATCCTTCATATTTCTT